GGCATGGGTGCGAATAGGGTACGTGGAGAAGATAACACATTTTATTTTTTGAATTTTTTATATTATTTTCTCTTTTCTTTTTTTGTTCTTTTTATTCTCATTGCACTTTTGTTAGTGCACCAACCTAAAAGGTTAGGGACTAATAGAGAAATTTAAATTTCCCCTTTCCTCCTTTTCTTTTAGTTTATATTTAAAGAGAGGGCGAATTTGTCATTTTATGTAATCTTAATGGTCAAAATGAACTAAAACCGTGTAAAAAGGGACCAACTTTGCCTATTTTTTGAAATGATGGGGTGGATGGTGCCAATAAAAAGGTAGAGGGCATCACGGCCATTTTCAAAAAATTGGAAACGAAGGATGCTGTATAATATTGATGTAGAGACTGACGAGCCTAAATAATATTTACTAATTCTGATAGTGTCTAGGAAAAATTCATTTGTACAGAAATCGTTTTACAGAAATTCACCAGATTACTAATAATGAGTGGGCCCCACCAAGTATTAAAAAAACATAAAATAATGTGCGGGACCCACACGTGTGTGTTTTCTGTGAATTTTCTGTCAAAATGGCTTCTGTACATGAAGCACTGCTTTCGTGTCTAACGTTGACAAATGATCAAAATACTAGGGCAATTTTTATTTATTTATTTAGCTTTTTAGGAGTATAAAATTGGTTGAATCAAGACCTAACCCAGTGCATTTTGTATACCTAGATCACTCTCTATATGCCGGGTCAAGTTCTCAGGCCCGCATCCATATGAACTTTTCAACAATAACATGTCTATTTTTTATTTTGATTAAAATTAGATTTTTAATAGATTTAGACAAAAGTTGATAAAATTAAGAAGTTGTGAGTTTCACAACATGTGTAATTAACATTAATTGGTACTTTGACTTATATTTTAATCAAAAAATTTAGTTGGACCAAACATGACCCAATATATTTAGAAGCACAGCCCGATTGATGACATGTGTTTTGATCGACCTGCTTAATATTTTTAGCGGTATTTAGCCAGCGTTTGACCCAATTCTTAAAATTCATTTTTTTCTCAAACTCATTTTTAATTATACATTTTGTGGGATTCATAACTTTTATCAATTTTTCAATCACATATTTCACCAACTTTTACATTAAAATCTAGGTTTATTGGCGCAAAACCTTTTTACCCTTGACCTTATTGCACAATCAATAATGCTACAAGTATAGAATTTTTTTTGACAAAATCCTGACATATAAGTTATAACACATGACATGACATCATTGAAAGATGGGGGAAAAAAAATAAAAAAAGACAGTCCAATCGTGCACCATCACATCAAGTTCGATATAAATTTTTTTCCTATACTCACAGCTTTATCCTTGCGCAATTTCCTTCCATCCTTTTAGATTAACGAAAAAACTTCATATATGACCTTTACGGTGAGGAAGACCTCCCTGCGGCCCAATTCCGTTAGTTGGGGGTGCAGATTTCACCTTTTTTCTCAATTTTATTTTTTTCATTTTAATTATTTTATATGAAATAATATAAAATTACCATTTTATCCTTAAATTGGGAAAGAATATAAAATTTTAAATATTTGAAATTATAGATTACACAGATAAAAAGTATGGGTATTATTTTCAAAAAATAAAAAGTTTGGGATTTCAACTACAACTATTCCTTTGTTATTTTGCCATTTTTACCGTTTTAAATGTCTAAACTATCGTAATGTTATTCATCCCCAATGGAGTTACAAACACAATTTAGGTGACTCTAAATGATATGTTAAATGAAAGGTATTTAATTTCACCTATCGTTTAACACCACATTAACGCAGACTTTGTTTGTAACTCCAGTGGGGATGAATAACATTACTCCAAAACTAAAGGAACTTGACTGTAGGGGTTTTGTGCACCTCAAAGATCATATAGAGTTTTTCGTTGTTGAGAAAATGAAATCAGCAAGAAGAAAATGAAAAGATTGAATTCAATATGATGAACACATTGAAGGAACTTGAGAAAGGAAAATTTTATTATTCATTAAGCTCAAGTGATAATGGAAATGCATTGCTCTATTTATAGAGTAAAATCTAACTAACTATCTAACAAACGACAACATAACAAACTAAAGAAGAAACTAGAAGAATCTAGAATAAGTGCTGCTGAACTTGCTGGCTGCTTGACATGCTTGCAGGAGCTGGAACGCGACTTGTATATATTCCAACACACCCCCTCAAAATGGAATATCTTGAGTTTTAGAGGGAGTAGTAGAGATGCAGGTTAAGTTGGGGTCGAAAGAGAAGCACTCCAGAGAGAAAAACAGCAATATACTTCAATCGGAATGAAAGAGCATCCATGTCTCTGAAATCGGAGATTTGCTGAAGAAAAACTTCATCACCATTGATGAGTAAAATGAAAACTGGAAATGCCAAACACCAGTGCAATCTCCAAGCCTCTCGCCAGTAGCAACTTTTGTTGAACACCTTGAAGGAAATTCGAGAAAACTGATTTGATTGAATCTGAAATTCAGCTTCTGCCATGGAGATGCAAAGAAGCATTATCAAAGAAGAAAAGAGCAGTTGGAACGGAAGCAATTACGCTCTGATACCATGTTGAGAAAATGCAACTAGCAAGAAGAAATTGAAAAGATAGAATTCAATATGATGAACACATTGAAGGAACTTGAGAAAGGAGAATTTTATTATTCATCAAGCTCAAGTGATNCATTGCTCTATTTATAGAGTAAAATCTAACTAACAACATAACAAACTAAAGAAGATGCTAGAAGAATCTGGAATAAGTGGTGCTGAACTTGCTAGCTGCTTGACATGCTTGCAGGAGCTGAAACGTGACTTGCATATATTCCAACATTCGTCAATCTAAAGTGATAAATGTATTGTACAGTAAAGTTAAAGGTCAAGGAAGTTTTGCATCAATAATCCTAAAATCTACTGAACTGGGTTTAGCCCCCGTTAATTCTGGTACTCATTTTTAACTATAAATTAATATAATAAAATATTTTACACGTAAATTTAATTTTTTTTATATATTTTCTAAAAAAATTTACCATCCAAAGCTCTTTTTTTTTTTCAAAATAATGGCGAACTTAATGTCGTGATCACTTGAAACAACGGAAAAAACGTGTAAATTAATCAAAGGCAGCACATCCACGTCAGATAGAAAGAGAGAGAGAGAGAGAGAGAGAGTCACGAAACTGGCAGAACAGGATGCCACCAAATCAAGAAAATGATATAAATTATTTTCTCTCTTTGTAAATGCCCTCTTTCTCGTCTTAATTGATTCTTTGTTCGCCTCTTTTACTTGCCCCTTCTGTAGAGAGAGAAAGCCCTACAAAAGGTATAACATTTCTTACCTATTCTTTTCTTGCCTTTTCTTCTTTTTAATTTTTGTATTTTATTGCTTTGATAATATTCCTTTTTTCTATTTGTAAAGAGTATGAATCTTTTATCATGTTTAATTATCAATGGGGTTAGGAATTGCTAACTGTGGGAAACGATTAATGTGTTTTGCGAAAGATCAATTTTTGCTTTTTTTTTTTATAGACTTTCGTTGACTTTCTTTTGTGGAGGACGTCATTCTTGCATATGGTAATTAATCACATTCTTTGTTGACGAGGTGAAACAGAAGTAGCTTTCTGCGGATTGAAAGAAAGATTAGTTTTTGCGTACCTCGAAAGGGATGTCCTTGTGATTCTACCTGGTTTTTCTTGAAATATGAAAGGATTATTCATCCATTGCATAGTCGAGGCTGTCCCACCACTCCTTAGAACTTATGTACTCTGAATGGAAGGGGTAACCGGGATAGAAGGGACTGAATAGGGGAAACAGCTAGATTCCAGAGGATCGAGCTCTCTCTTTATGCGTAGTGATGGTTAGGATCATACAGTGTAAAGAATTGGATTGATTGGGAGAATAATTGCTGGAGATGCAAGCAGTCTATCGCTAATTTTTGTCCTAGGCTGACACCAAGTACCGGCATAATTCACGAGAACATTCTTTAGTCTTAGTAAGAGAGAGATCGTTAAGGATTTACTTGTTGTATGTTATAACATTGTTCGAGGAATCTTAGATTTTGTTTGAGTAAAGGATTGTCAGCAAGTCTATTTAGTTTGTTGTGTACTCTTATTCAAGACTTGTATCATTTGATGATGACATGTGAATCACCATATGATGTGAAGATATCTAATCACTAATCCACATGTTATTTGATAGCTAATTGCCCTTTTCTCCATGTTACTGTCTCCCACATCTTATTTTGCTTATACCTTTTCACGAGTCTATTGTCTAAGGAAGTATATAAAAACCATGAATGATCTCTTTACTTCTATGCTATTTGTTTTGTTGGTAAATATTGAATCAGAGAGCCTGAGAGTTGGAACTCGTTTAGTGAGTTTATTCAAGTTTTTCCCTTTCTTTATGCTCTGATTTAATATTTTATTAGTTTCTTTGGGTTTGTTTTATTCATTTACATATTGTTTTGAGCTTCTGAAATCTTCTTTTATGAGTTGAAAAGCCTCTGCTTTCTACAAGTTGAGAACACAGTTGCAGTTAAAGCTTATCCCATATTGCTGACACCCCACTTGCTATAGCCTCTATTGGGTTTCAGTCGGATGATCAACATATTGCAGATATTAGGTTTTTCTTTATATATGAAACTTTAAATTTCATATACCGTATATGCTCTATGGCAACTCATGCTAATGAGCATATAATCACTATGAAAGTTGAATTTAGATAGCACTGCATTACAATATTGACTATTTTATTTTAATAAAGAAATTGCAAAGATCATAGTTCTCTATTCTAATTCCATTCTAAATTTGTTCTTTTTCGTGTTTATTGAAAGTGAATCTCTTTTATGCAGAGCAGTAGTTACATTCAAATCCTTGCTTCATTTCATCCAACCATACGTTTGAGACAATCTTAAGAGGACATTTGAAGAAACAAGTTGTGATAATTACTCTTTCATTGGAAAGGGGATGGTTTTGCAGTCTATTCATTATGGAAGTCGATATTGGAACTTCCTGCTGCAATGAGAAGATACCTTTGGAGAATCCGACACCAGTTGACGAATTGAAAAAGCCAACAGAAAATCACGCGAGCACTTCTGTGTTCGTCAATCATGGTAAGTCTTGCCTATAATTATGTGTGAAGAATAGAGTATTACTGTATATAAAGATACTTGGCCCTTGTTTGACAACCATTGTTTCTCATTCTTTTTTTCTTATATTCATTTTCAACCACATAATTTCACAATAAAATATTCTTTATGTAAACCCAAAACTTTTTCTTACTTTTTAACCACACATTCTCTAAAAAAATCACTATTCCAAAATTCACTTTCCCATTAAAAAAAAAAAGAAACTCATAATAATGTTTGTCAAACAGGGGCTGAATTTCCACAANTCACAATAAAATATTCTTTATGTAAACCCAAAACTTTTTCTGACTTCTTAACCACACATTCTGTCAAAATTTACTGTTCAAAACCTCATTCTTTCAAAAAAACAATTCTGTCAAGCAGGGGCTTAAATAGGACATGGGGTTCATAAAGTTAATATTTCTTACGTCTACCATTTCTGGCATTATTGGTATGTAGATTGAAAGTTTATCGAAATAGATAACTCAGTTAGAGTTTTCAAGGAAAATTATACGTGTGTTAATTAACAAAAGAAAGGAAAAGGTAAGGGGCTAAATTTTTTGAATGATTTTAGTTACATCCATGGCTCTTGTACAATTGAAGTAAATGGTATGGTTTGTCTTCTCATGTATCTATGTGTTTGTAAAATATACTTAACAAAGCCTGTTCATCCAGTTGGATGACTCTTATTCTTCCGCTGCGTTGTTTAAATTTCCGAAGTTATATTTTTAGACGTTAGTGTACTCTAGAAGATCATGGGTTTGAATCTCGCGTCCCCCCAGTTTTGAGAATTTCATTTGTCGAACTTTAGGGAAAAAAATGAAACTGGTCGACACATAGTGGGGCTTGTCGAAGATACGAATATAAATAAATGAAGATCTCTCCCTAACAACTTAAGTTTTTAAATTAGGATGCCATTTAATGCCATATTAGAGGTGAAGGTTTTGGGTCTAAGTATTATTGTCACCCATTTATGAAAATTCATTAGGTCTTCAAAGAAAAAATGAGCATGACCTATACAAGAGGAGCATTGAAGATATAAACATAAATGAAAGATAAGTTATCCACACTAAAAACTTGAAAACTTATAAGATGGATAAAATAGAAAAGCTTTTGCTCATCCCTAAAACAATTATAAATAAAATAGAAGAGTCAACGAGAGATCTTTAATATGTCTATGTTTGTAGCTGCTATATCATGGCACGACAGCAGAGGAAAATGGATTGGAGATCTATCTCAGAGGTCAAAAAGGGTGCCAAAGGATCCAATTATAAGGTACTGCCTGTAATTGCCTACGTCTGCCATGAATGCCAATAGCACTATAAGGACACGCAAAATGTATGCTTTTCAACTTTCCACGGTAAACGTTTTGGACACATTTTCAGTTTCAAGTGGTGGCACTATTTGATTTAATTGCAATGATATGAACGGCTTGAAGAAGATCCCAGTGTCATTAAGTTCAGACTAGCCATTTAGACTAGGTGTAGAGTTAATAAACGTTTGTATACTTGTCTGCTTGATCTATTACTATACGCAACAAGCACAACTAGTGACTCTGCTCTACAGTTCCTGACATCTTGAAGGTCCACGTCCTGAAAGTTTTGCCCATAAGATGTTGCTGCAAGTAATTAGGGCACATAATGGCTAATGCAACTGCTTCCATTATACTTATTTGGTCCTTCTGTTTCCTCTATAAAAGGAACATTTTTTTATTGGTTTTCCTCTTCAGCTGTTTGCTCTTTACCTGCTTGGAGCGTGAGAATACTGAACATGTGCCTTTCCATACGGACACACACATATACTTATACGTTACACGTATTTATGTGTGTATTGTGGTGAAAAAGTTAATGATAACCATTTTAGTAGTACATGGAAGTAACCGATATTAAGAGGGTTCTACCTTAAAAGGTCAACCTTGTTAAGAGGGATATTTCAAGCCATTATATGTTGTTCATTTATTTCGTTGTTATATGATATGGGATTTTGCTTAATATGCTCTCGCAAGATGACAACTTGTTTGAGAATATCAAATCTTAAAATCCATGTGCTCGTTCGAGCTTTAGCCGGACTGAATTGCTTGTTTGAGGTTAATGGGCTCTGAGCTCGAAGTTACATCTTAAAACGTCGACCTAGTTAAAAAGAGTGGCTCAAGCCTTTGTGTGTTATTCAACGTGGTATATTTCCATGACAATCGAGAACCAATATTATGGCATCATTGATTTTCAATTTATGAGGTTATATTGTTACACGTTGAAATTTACTCTGGTATTTGCTCTTGCAGCTGGTCAATGACCTATGAAGACCTACTCTCAACTAATGACCCTTTTGCCAAGCCAATCCCTTTATCAGTAAGTTTTCTTTCCTTCACACAAACGATGACCCAATAACAAACCTCTAGTTGTCTTTAAATTAGCTTTATTTGCAAGCGTAAGAGCAAAGTATGAATTATTATTTATCTTATGAAACAACTTTTCGGCTTCTTCAGTAGGATAGTTAATTTTTTGCTGCATAAGATTTGGCCAACCTTTACTAGTGCAAATACAACAAGAAGCTAAGCATTATTCCTAAAAAAATTCGAGTATCCTTAGCAACTAAAACGTAGCATGTTAGTTTTGGTCTACTCCCTCTTGTGACTTTCTCTACCAAGATCACATCACTTATAAACGCGTTCCCCATTTTTAGTGTAAGTAGTAGTAGGGCATTGTTATGTAGACTCTAGTGTACAAACTCCAATATCATTTTGGGACTATACTAGGCATACTCAACCAGATACATTTATACATACTGCAGGAGATGGTGGACTTTTTGGTTGATATCTGGCAAGATGAGGGGCTTTTCGACTAGATGATCCCATTCTAGTTATTCGGAAGCTTTCTATTTGAAGAACGACACGAAATATTATTCAAGCTTGAAGTCAGCATCCAGTTAACTTTCAATTTTTCGTTGTTGTAACAATAGTTAAATTAGTATAATCTTAGCAACTAGATTGCTTATAATTTATATGTAGATAATATGGTTAGACATTCAGATAGGGATAGCCATCTGTGTACCTGCGTAGTGAAATGGACTGTATTTGTAAGTAATTTTTGATGTATTATTGTGGTATTTGAAAATGAGTAGCAGCATGTGTGTGTGTGTGTATATATATATGCATTTGGTACCCACAGGTTTGCCATTTAACTTCATTGGTTGGTTAATTTTCAGAAGAAATGAAGTGAAAAAGATGATCCTTGGAGCATCTCCAATGCGTTTTTGGACAGTGAAAAAATGTAACATGTCAGCAAATAGACAGTGTCCACCAGGAAATACACTTCTCATTACGTGGACACTGCTAAGATTAGATGGAAAAAGAAATCAAGCTGTTTGCACGGAAATGGTTTTAGACCTTTATTGACAGATGGTGAGAAGACATCGTTTTCACCTTTGATTTCAATAAATGAAATTTAAATCAAGGACCAAAATGCACAACTCCTTGACCTTTGTCAAAAAGTGTAAAAAATACTGTATAGATAGC